CTGTCTACAGAAGCGTTTCTAGCCGCCCTAGACAGATTCGTGTCTCGACGTGGAATATGTCAACATATTGTGACAGATTGTGGCACTAACTTTGTAGGCGCTAAACGATATCTTGAGGAAATGGTTAAATTATTGATAGATAAAAAACAGGATATTTCTGATCAATTAACGTCTCGTGGAATCTCCTGGAAATTAAATCCACCTTCAGCACCTCATTTTGGAGGCATTTTTGAAAGTGGTATAAAATCTACTAAATATTATCTCAAGAGGGTCATAGGCTCACAAGTCCTGACGTTTGAAGAACTAACTACAGTTTTAACTAAAGTTGAAGCGATGCTGAACTCAAGACCGATTTGTCAGTTATCGTCTGATCCTGGCGAAGTTGATGTTCTCACGGCCGGTCATTTTATTATAGGACGTCCTTTAGTAGCTCTACCAGAACCGTCCGTTGAAGATATGAATCCTAGAACACGCTGGCAGTTACTTCAAAAGCTTTCTCAAAGTTTTTGGCGTATTTGGCAAAGTGATTATTTACATACGCTTCAACAAAAGGTTAAGTGGTTTAAGGATGATCACAAACATCCTAATATTGGTCAACTCGTTTCAATCATTGAACCTAATCTACCACCTAACGAATGGCGCCTAGGTCGAGTAGTCCAAATCCACCCCGGAAAGGACAATATTATCCGGGTTGTGACCTTAAAGACCAAAAGAGGCCTACTTACAAGACCAGTAGTCAAAGTCTGCCCTCTTCCTCTTGATTGAATCTTATTTTATTGTTTTATTAAGCTAGATTGTAAGTTCTAATTTTAAAATTAAATTAACTAAGTTTGATTTTCTTTTGTAGTTTAGTTAAGGTTATCAATGCACAACTTAGCTCAGATATCTATTTAGTTTATATTAATTTATATTCTATGAGCAACTGGGGACCTGGAGAGCTGCCGGGTCGATGGTTGTCTTGTGAAATCCCTAGGTGATTTCAGGTGGGAGGGAATGTTGTGGCTTCGGAACAGTCCCGATATAACATCCTTTTCCTAAGTGTTTCCTATCCTCCCGCCTCCCCCGTATACGCACTGCTCAGAATGGTACGCCACCTATCGTCGAGAAAAAAGAGAAGCAAGATGGCCGCGCACGCATAAAACGTGTTCGTTACCGCTTGTTTAAAAATAACCAATAAATAAATTGTAAGACTATCGTGCAATTGCTCGTGTCCATATACATTCGAAGTGCAGTGTGGTATCTGTGTATACACGAGAACTTCAGCCTAAATATACAGACTTCACCATAACCACGATAAGTGCTCCAGTCTTGTGAGTATCCTTACCTTATCTACCCAGTTCTAAAGCTATTTTCGTTTACTTCCCGGTTGGGATCATCGGGTTAGCCAGCCCTTGGTCTGGTTGTTCTCTGGTTCCCAAAACCACCCACGAAACACATTGCGAAACATTCAAGCCGTAACAAAAACTATTCATCTTTGTAATCATAAATTTTTTAAATAAATAAATAAATAAATTTACAACAAATTTACCGTGTGATGAATCTAATGACGGCGCAGCGTAAAAGGTGAATATGGAAAATTTAAGATAAAACTTAGTGTAGAGTGATAGTAAAATACCCAGACCGGTGACGAGGTGCAGCTACAAAGTTTCGAAAGGTTCAATCGAGCTCAAGCGAAACAAATAAGGAAAATCCTCCCTTTCAATTAATGAAAAACAAAAATAAAAATAAAAAGTTTACTTGTGGCTTCTCTTTATTGACTTCTGCCAATGTCAAGACATTCATGGGTAAAAATGGTATAACTATAACAGTTGATGCGTCTGTTATAGAATGTGTAACTTCAGAACGACTCAACTGTCTTTTTTTATACGAAATAAGGGTGACAAGTGGGCACACAGCCTACTTTATGGTACGTGGATGCTGTAGCCATTAGCTGTAACATTATTATTCATTAAACAATCCAAATGCAGATGCGTTATCACCCCTTAGGACTTAGATGGAATGCCTTACTTCCAGTAAAAAGAATTTCTATTATATTTGCTAATTTATTATTTTCATTTCGGTAATTGTTTGTGAGTCTGTCAGTGATTGTGCAAAATACATTTATTTTACAATATATTTATTTTACTTTGTCTAGAGATGGTTCATAGCTAGAGTCTAATAGCTGGCGCTGGCAAGTTAATAATTCAAGTCGCGCGCTCAAAATGGATGTCGAGTCGGTGGTCGTGGAACCAAGGAACCACTTCTCATTGACGCGGTCATTAGCAAAATGGTGAAACGCAACCGTCGGAACTTCTACGCCGCCTGCATAGATTACAGAAAGGCATTTGACTTGGTGCCCCATACATGGCTCGAGCTGTAGAAGATAGACTGTACAGTTAGAGACTTCCACGAACAGTGTATGGGGCAGAGGAGTACGATCCTTTGTCATCTGGGCCAGTGGATGATGGCTGCAGAAAGCCACATAAGGATAAGAAGGGGTATCTTCCAGGGCGATTGTCTGAGTCCAATCTGGTTCTGCCTCTCTTTGAACCCTCTCAGTACTTTACTGGAGGGCTCCGGGAGGGGTTTTTAGCTTCGGAAAGGAGGTACAAAAGTGACCCACCTTTTTATATGGATGACCTCAAGCCTCCAGTCGCTCCCATCTTGTGGAAATGCTAAACATCACCTGTGAATTTAGCAATTCTATTGGAATGGAGGTGGGGACGGATAAGTGTGCGGTCCTCCATGTTGAAAGGGGAAAGGTTGCTAATTCTGAGAGCACAGACTTATCTATGCCCATCAGTTTAAGGACCCTTTCCGAGGCTGAAACACACCGTTACCTGGGTGTGTAATAGAACATCGGTATCGATGAGGCTGGTATGAAACAGTCAGTTTGCGACGTGTTTTATACACGCTTGACCAAAGTCCTCAACAGCTTTTTGTCTGGTGTGCATAAGACACACGCATATAACGGTTGGGTCATGACTGTCCTCATGTATACCCTTGGCATACTCAGGTGGACTCAGACTGAAATTAACGCCCTGGATAGAAAAGACCGCACTACTATGACGTCTCATAGGATGCATCATCCGAGATCGTCGGTAATGAGGCTGTACTTGCCGCGAAAGCATGGTGGGCGTAGCTTTTTGAGCGCGCTCACCATGCATAATCGAGAAGTGCCTCCGTAATTACTTCCTGGTGAGATCGGATGATCCATTCTATAAGGACGTCATTTTTTATGATAAAGGACTTACCCCTCTATCCTTAGCCAACGAGCAATGGCAAGACCCGGCAGTGCAGAGCATTTCCGACCGGGAGACCGTATGGAAGGAGAAGGAGCTCTACGGGAGGTTTTACAAGGCACTACATGAACCTTTCGTAGATGCAGTAGCCTCCCTCCACTGGCTACGCTTTGGTGACCTCTTCGGGGAAACCGAGGGTTTTGTCTGTGCAATACAGGATCAGGTTATTAAGACCAACAACTATCCGAGATACATCCTAAAGGATGGCACCGTCGACATCTGTCGAGCTTGTCGCCATCCTGGTGAGTCACTTAGGCATGTCATCTCCGGTTGTTCGGCGCTTTCTAACTCTGAGTACATGCACAGGCACAACCTGGTAGCCAGAATTCTTCACCAGGAGCTCGCTCTGAAATACGGTCTCGTGGACCGGAAATTGCCATATTACAAGTACTTGCCGGAAGTCGTGCTCGAAAATGATCGCGCCAGGCTCTACTGGGACCGGATTATCATCACAGACAGGACTATTCTTGCGAATCAGCCTGATATTGTGCTGATGGACCAGACAAAGTCAAGGATATTTTTGGTCGACATTACCATTCCGTATGACGAGAGCCTCGTGAAAACCGAAACAGATAAACGAACAAAATATCTGGACCTGGCTCACGAGGTGACCGACATGCGGGGTGGTCTGCTGACTGAAATTATTCCTGTAGTCAATTCTGCAAACGGGTTAATCCCAGTCAGCCTCTCGGGTCATCTAAGGAGGCTGGGACTCCGTGACGGACCGCTCCAAGCTCAAATGCAGAAGGCGGTGCTCCTCGATACCGCCCGCATCGTTCGTCGGTTTCTCTCCCTTTCCCCCTAACCCTCGGCCGTTTGGTCTCCCCTGCCGAGAGCCTCCATCTGGTTGGGATTTTATTTATTTATTTTGCGTTTGCACATTTACAATCAAGCTTATACACTCCTGCATATTGTAGAAAAATATGACACTTGATGTATGGTAGGAACTCACTAATCTTCTTCATAGGCTTGTAGAATGTTCTGATGGAAGCTCGCTTCAAGATGTGGCCAATCTTGTCTGTGAAACCCCTGATATATGGTAGTACTGCACAGACTTGACTGTGGCCGGCTTCACTCGGTCACTGTGACCTAGACGCGGGACCTGAAGCTTGTTGATGTGCAGATTCTGCTTGACGTGCTGAAGCTCGACGGCCAGATGTTTGCTCATGGTAGCTAACTGTGAAGGATGATGGTGAGATTTATTATTTGTGTTTTCTATACACAGTGTAACCTATGGTGTTGTTAGGGTTTGGGATGACTAATGCATCTAGTAAAGCTAAGGAATTATTTGCTTCAAATTTATACGTCAATACATCATCCAGGAGCAGGAGGCAAAATATTAGTCTGATGCCGTGCCCAACCCAAATAGCATATTACTGTCATAACATGGGCACAGCATCCAACCGTACGACGGCCGACAATACAATTGCAACAATACTTTTTTATTGCAATTCTACCAGAACCAACACTAATTAAAATATATATAAAATACACTTTACGACTGATGGTGTCGACTTGCGATTCTAGCCCTAAGTAAAGATCAGCTAGGGCTAAAGTTTATTCTTACTATAATATCACCATAATAGGAGTGAGATTGATTTAATTTGTATTTGCCACAAGCAATTAATATTAAGTTGCTGTAAGTGGAATCAAGAAATTCCTTAACATTTTTGGAGTCTACATTTATATGATGACGAGGTATATGCTTTTATGTCGGATATGAAACAATCTTTTGATACCCTCAAAAATCAACAAGTTAAAATTCTAAGTAGTATTAGTGACATCCATAAACAAAATGGTGATATTATTAAATCCATGGACTTTATCTCAAAACAGTATGATGAAATCAAAGATCGATTGTGTAAAATGGAAACTGAAAGAAAAATGCATTTAGCCTATATTCAGACCCTTGAATTAAAAGTGGAGAATCTCGAGAGATTTCAAAAACAGGCTAGTATTGAGATAAAGAATATCTCTGTCAAACATAACGAGACTAAAGATGTCTTGTTACAGATAGCAAAAAAAGTTGGTCTAGTTACTAACACCCTTATTGAAGACTCTCTCATTCGCGATGTATTTCGCTTGAATGAAGATAAACGGGGAAATAGGCCGTTAATGGTAGAATTTACAACTGCTATTTTAAAAGAAAAGATTTTAACATCCGTCAAAAATTATAACCAATCCGGTTAAATAATACTAAAAAACTAAACACAGGAGATATACAATTTGAAGGACTCACAAAGCCAACTATCTGACCAAATATCTGACTCAAAAAGCAAAAAAAAAACTATACTACCTCGCTCTAGAGTTTAATAAAAGGAACTCCTATGCCTACTGCTGGACTGCTCACAGGAAAGTTTTCATCCGTAAAAAAGAAAGTGCTCCATAACATCGGATTGATTCGGAAAATGAACGAAACCAATTGCAGACGCAATCTTCTTTGTGACTAAGCAATTTACTTCGATTTTTATATATTATTTTTAACATAATTTTATTACTCTCTAAATGTTTAAGTAATCCGTATCCTTTTGTTTACGTTGATTTAAAAACTTACCACATATTACCACAAACATTTACCATCGTTTTTCTTAATTGTATGATTTTAATAATAAATACTACTCTCACACATTTACACTACCTAACCTACATCCTAATTCATTAAATCTCTATATTACTAATACTGTATAATTCAACAGACTAAAAATAAAAGCTGAAAATTTTGAATCGTCTTTGAATATTCACTTATTAATAGTTATACTTGATAACATCTCTAATGAGATTGATTCAGCTTTTGTTTCCGATTCCATGATATGCACTCCAGAAAACCTAGTTAATCAAATTAATCAGACCAGAAATTCTTTGATAGTGTTTTACACTAACATACGCAGCGTAACTTTTAATTTTGATGCACTAGCCATATTAATGTAAAGAATTTGTATTCAATGGGATGTCCTTGTACTGACGGAATGCTGGCTAAGCAAATTATCAGTTATACCTGAAATTGCTGGGTATACGTTTTATTCTTCTGATTATAGTAACCAAAACGACGGTGTTCTGGTATATATAAAATCTGAAATAAAGCATAGTATACATAAACCTTTAACTTCTGATGCGAATGGTCTTATCGTAAATTATGAAAATAAATATGCCATTTTAGCCATATATCGATCACCTTCACAAAAAATATCAATAAATTTTGTGATAGCCTTGATCGCTGTCTTGCATCTTTAGCTTCTGTAAGATCAGTTATCTTGATTGGAGATATCAATATAAATATCTTACCTAATAATAATGAACTTAATAGCAGTAAATATTTGGATTTAATGGCGCTCCACGGATATTTAGCAGCTTATTTAATCCCCACTCGTAACGAAAGTTGTATTGACCATGTAATGTTGAGATCAGATAGATATTCTGCAACACATATACTGGATTCGCTTATTACTGATCATGCTCCGATAGTGCTTCACTTAGATTGCAAAATTATAAGGTATCCATTTAAAAGCACAACTTTCAAAATTGATTATCCATCAGTATTAAAACAATTATCTGATACAGATTTTAGTTTTATATACAATATCAAAGATGCCAATGAAGCCGCTACCGCTTTAACTTAAACTATTACTGATGCCATAACTGCTCATTCCAATAAAATAAAAATGTTATTGACAAACATGAAACAGCAATGCGAAGCAAAATACTGCTTACCCAGGGTATTTCTGAAAGACAGAATGAGAAGTTGCATGAATCGGTATATAAGCTGTTTTCCGACCAAATGATCATGTAGCAGTAAGCATCAATGCAACTGTCATATGGGTGGCACCCCCTCACAACACACCCACATGACTCCTATCGATTTTGGCCGGCACTAAGATGTTATTTGTTTACCTCCATCGAGCAGAACGACAAAAATGCGTCGAATCAGGCGCAGCATACCCGCAGATCCATCACAAGATGCAATACCGCAAGTAGCAGTAAGCATCAATGCAACTATCATACGGATGGCGCGCCCTCACAACACACCCACATGACCCCTATCGATTTTTGTAACAAAGTTTTTATTGTTGTTATATAAAAAATATCACCAACGTATCATAGTAGCACGTTACTAAGACGCTAATGAACAGAACTCCACGTATCATAGCGCTAATGCACTAAGACATGAAGTTGAGTATGCCTGTTACACTTAAAAGTGCTAACAAACCCACTCATCATCCCAATCCCAAAGATAGACGAAGCATCGCTATGCGCTACGACGTCACCCACAAACGGTATGGGTGTGCGATGTCCACGGGAAAGCCGTATTGCTACAACAAATCCGCTTACCACCGGCACTAAGATGTTATTTGTTTACCTCCATCGACCAGAACCACAAGAATGCGTCGAATCAGGCGCAGCACACCCGCAGATCCATCACAAGACGCAATACCGCGAGTAGCAGTAAGCATCAATGCAACTGTCATACGGGTGGCGTCCCCTCACAACACACCCACATGACCCCTATCGATTTTGGTAACAAATTTTTTATTGTTGTTATATAAAAAATATCACCAACGTATCATAGTAGCACGCTACTAAGACGCCAATGAAAAGAACTCCACGTATCATAACGCTAATGCACTAAGACATGAAGTTGAGTATGCCTGTTACACTTAAAAGTGCTACCAAACACACTCATCATCCCAATCCGAAAGATAGACGACGCATCGCTATGCGCTACGACGTCGCCCACAAACGGTATCGGTGTGCGATGTCCACGGGAAAGCCGTATTGCTACAACAAACCCGCTTACCACCAACACTAAGATGGTATGTCTAGGACACATCGGTTAGCGAGTCCAAGTTTACCTCGGACCAATTGCTCGTGAAGCAGCATACACGCCACCATAATATTCCTTTTTCAAGTCCCTAATAAGGACTAGTCATTTTGCTACAGTACTAGGAGCATTCGGTCAACCGATCACTCCATACAATGCTTATGCATCAAGGAGACCTCCTACAATATTGCTTTTGTATCATAGACCTTACTTTCATAAGTCATGTGTATATAGGATTCGAACCCACGACCCTACTATTGTAATGCAAATTCATCATGGAGACCTTCTATAGTGTTGCTTTTGTATCATAGACCTTACTTTCATAAGTCATTCATATATAGGATTCGAACTCACGACCCTACTATTGTAATGTATATTAATCATAGAGACTTTCTATAGTATTGCTTTTGTATCATAGACCCTACTTTCATAAGTCATTAATATATAGGGTTCGAACCCACGACCCCACTATTGTAATGCATATTAATCATAGAGACCTTCTATAGTATTGCTTTTGTATCATTGAGTTTAATATCATAAGTCCCTAATATAGGACTAGTCATTGTGCTACAGTACTTCAGGCAGTCTGGCTCCCGACCACCCCATATATATGTACAACTGCAGGTATGTATTTCCGGCAGCTCTTCTATACAAAACATCTATACATGAACACCTTCCATAACTTAGGAAACTTTTCTTGTATACGTGAACTCCTTCCACAACTTAAGGAAATTTCTTTTATACCCGAACTCCTTCCACAACTTAAGAAAATTTTCTTTTATACATGAACTCCTTCCAAGACTTAGACAATTTTTAACAAATTTTCTAATTATCTTATAAATGTTATTTATCTTTATTTTTATAATATTTTCGACTTGTATTTCCATTATTTATCTTATTTTAAATATTTTTCAATTTTTTAATAAATTTATTTATTATGGAAGACAATATTTTGCCTTTAATTTACTATGTTATTGGTCTAATGTCTGAAATGTATTTATATTAACTTCATGGTTATTATTTTATGTGCCGTGTAGTGGCGGTTAAGAATATCCATTACCCCGTATCTTCCCGTGGGTGTCGTAAAAGGCGACAGAGGGAAACAGGCAGGAGATGGGCAGCAGCATCTTCCTGATAACAGCAACTGTACGACAAAAAAAAAACTGCGGTTGCCAACCCGCTCGCCAAGCGTGGCAACTATGGCAATATACCCCCCATGAACAATTACACAAATAGACGGCCCCCAGTCCGCGGCGGCCCCGCTATTCCTGGCTACGGTGGCGACCATGGTAACGGCGGGGCAGGGGGTGCTAAGAATCTCCGGTGGAGGTTCGGTTTCCACCTACGACGACTCGACCTGGCAACATTTAACGCACGCACACTGAGGACTGACGAGAAGATCCTAGAGTTGGAAGAAGAGATAGATAAGTTGCGCTGGAGTATTATAGGATTATCCGAGGTCCGAAGAGAGGGGGAGGACACGGTGATTCTCGAATCCGGCAACTTGTTCTATCACCGGGAGGGCGACCATCTGTCCCAAGGAGGTATCGGATTTATCGTCCACAAGTCTCTCGTCAACAACGTTGTAAAGATGGGAAGTGTGTCGACGAGGGTCGCGTACCTGATAATCAGAATCACCAAACGGTATTCGCTGAAGGTCATACAGGTTTACGCACCAACCTCGGCACATTCCGATGAGGAGGTGGAGGAAATGTATGAGGATATTTCCAAAGCCATGCATTCCTCCAAAACCCACTACACGGTGTTGATGGGAGACTTCAACGCAAAACTAGGCACAAGAGAAAGCGGTGAGCTGAAGTTAGGGAAATTTGGAGTAGGGCAACGGAACCGAAGGGGCCAGCAGCTGGCCGACTTTATGGAGAAAGAGGGACTCTTTATGATGAACTCTTTCTTCCAGAAGCGGCCCCACAGGAAGTGGACCTGGTCGAGCCCCGACGGTTCGACAAAAAACGAGATTGACTTCATTATGACGACCAGACGCCAACTGTTCAGTAATGTCTCAGTGATCGCAGGGGTGAAAACTGGCAGCGATCACCGAATGGTTAGAGGCACACTGAACCTAAACGTTAAGTTGGAGAGGTCTCGTCTAATGAAGTCAACGCTCCGTCCCCCCTCGTGCTCTAATCCAAAATCCCGAAAACTTTCAGCTCGAGTTACACAACCGCTTTCAGTGCCTACAAGATTGCAATGCAGTGGACGATATGAATGACAAGCTCGTGGAAACTGTCCATGCGGTCGGAGCTAAGTTCTGCAAGACCCGCCGCAGAAGAACACAAAAACTCTCCGATCACACTCTTAATCTCATGGCTGTTAGACGGGAGATAAGGCTGCAATCGTCAACAGATTTGACAGC